AACCGATACTCGCTTCTTACTATCCTGCACCAAACAATTCAATCAATAAAAAAAAAATTGCACTTTCCTCCCTTCTCTATTGAAAAACAAGCAAAAACTAATCAACAATAAACTTACGGGAGCAGATCCAGTGAGTAACCTTGTGGTGAGTAACCCCATGCATAACCCAATAAGAATCTGCCACATCAGCGCCTCCTTCTCTCTCCTGGAAAAATCAATAATTTTCTTTCCCTTAATCTTTAACGGACGATTTCTCACTCGTTTTAACTCGGAATTTAATTTTTTTGCACAGTTAGATCTTATTAATTATGCTCTTCAAAATGATATCCACTTTGATATTCTTTGGAACAAAAAAAATTTGCGAGTTATTACCAGTCTATACCATATGGTATAGACTATACCATATGGTATAGACTGGTAATAAATAACAGCATACCATATGGTATGAAAAATACCAGTCAATACCATATGTTGTTATTTATACCAGTCAATACCATATGGTATTAAATAACAGCATACCATATGGTATGAAAAATACCACCTCATATCAGGGTGGTATAGTATGGTATGGAGTTGGTAACGAGAGGTTTGAAATTTTTTCCCCCATAAAATTTTGAAATCCAATAGATCGTGATTAAATCGTTCCTTTTGTGCAAAAATTTTCGAAAATGACTAAACAACGAAGGAGATACCATATGGTATGGAGTTGGTAACGAGAGGGATGAAAAAAAAATTTCTCAAAAAATATTGAAAATGGATATCATTTTGTAGAGCACAACGAACTCGTTCCATCTGTGCAAAAAAAAAATTGAAATCCGAGTTAGAAGGAAGAAGATATGATCCAATTAAGAAAACTAGGGAAAATAAATTCCTTTAATTCTCCACCCTTAGATCTGCAGTCACTTAAAAGAAGGATCCAGATTTGGTTACTCATTGTTACTCACCCTAAGGTTACTCACCCTATCTTGAGCCTAAACTTACCCATTCAATTCATCACTAAAACTAATTACCAAAACTAGGTTGTTGTTCCCCAGTTCCCTCCATCTTTCCACCAAAACTAAGCTGCTGCTCCCCAGTCCCCTCCATCTTTCCATCAAAACTAGCTGAGGTGGGATCGACCTGGGGGTTGGGACGGAGCGGAGGGCAACAAAATGCTGGACAGGTCGCGTCACAGAGCGGAGCAGAGGTGGGAGCGACCTGCGACTGCGACGGAGGGGATGGAGACCGGCGACGAGATGCTGGGTCGCATCACAAAGCCTCGGAGAGGAGGTGGGTCGTCGCCGCCGATCGATTTTAGGGTTAGGGAGCTCGGCAAGGCTGCGATTCGGAGGGAAGTGGATTGGATTTGGTGGAGGTGTCGCAAAACTCACGATGGAATGGAGAGGGAGCCCTCACTGCAAATTGCAATCCTACAAAAAGTGGCATCGCCAGGGCCGCTAGGGGGGAGTGGGCCGAGTGGCAGTGGGCTGGCCTAGGCCCTGGTAGACTTTGCCTTTGGGTCTATTTTTAAGTTATTAGGTGTTCCGATTTTGATACGATTTTAACCCGGACTAGATTGGTTTGGGTTTTTTTACTAATTCTAGGATCAAAGACAAGATTGAATTGTTTTACATCCGATCCTGGTCTTAAACGTCCGATTTCTGGTTTTACATCTAGTCTCGGACCAAATAGCCAGCCCTAACTTAAATGCAAGAAAAGAGGGAAGAGTCAATTTATAGAGTAGATAAATGTGTCACTAATGGAGATGAACACATTATTACTGGTCACTTCAAGGTTGTTGCTCATGTAGGAGGAAATGCAAACAAGTAAAAAGAAACGTGTTGTAATCTCTAACATTGAGGAGTAATTAGAAGGTCATTTTGATTTGACTTTAGGAGTCGATTCCTTGCATTAGGTTTGTTCTTTCATTTTCGTAAAAGAGTTTTAGTCAATTAGTCATAAAAATGCCAGAAAGAGCATGATGTTGATCCTCATTGAATTGTTGAACTACTTTAATAATAATGTTTAGAGAATTTGAAAATTTTAGTATAAGATACGTAAATCGGATACAAATTGCTACTGTTATTTACGTGATTGCCAACTAAATTCGGCCAACTGACCGGGTCCGTGACTAGTTAATAATAAAAAAGAGTAAAGGAGTCAAGCTTTGGTAACAAGTTTCCGCGAGTTTTGGGGAATGTTTGCTTGCTTCCCAAAGTGGCAACTCCGAAGAACCAAACCCCAAGAAACGATGGATGACCAATGAAGGGCTTTTATGGTTTGGGCTGCCAATTCGGGAATGGACGAGGACGATGGACAAGCGGCGTAAAAAAATGATGGTATTAGTGTGATAGTAGTTAATCAAGTCATTAATTTAGTAATCAAGACATGGAAGCTTGAAGAATTAGAAAAGGTAACTTGCACCAGACGTTCGTTGTGCTTCCATTCAGGCTGGTCAGTCTGTTTAAAGATTGTTTTGGTAATTGAGAAGGCCACTCCACTCCACTCCAATCCCTTTTGGTTCGCCAGTCTGTGTCTGCTCTGTCCCTTTTGTTGCTTTGCTTTCGGCTTTCGGTTCCGACAATTGGCTTAACAGTGAGAGAGACCATTGTTGGAGTTGTTCGCTATATCACCCAGGGTAAATGATTGTGTGTGGTAAATCTTTTCCATTCCAAAAATACTCTTCGTTTAATCTTAACCATCAATATGAAAAAAAGAAGAAAGAGACAGGAGAGAGGCCGTATCCAATGGTGAGGAGGTAGGTTGTCAAACTCACAAACCCCTAAGGGGGTTGTCACCGTATCTCATCCCCTCACTTCATATGGTAGTCTATGAATCGCCGATTTGAACACGTCTACGCAGAAGCCGCCCACGTAAGTAATTGCGGACGACTTCTGCTCCACGACCACCTTAAACAGCTCCTCAAACCCCGGCCGATGCATAGGGACGCCGACTCTTAGCTTTCTAGGCGCCTCGTCATAATTTCAAGTCGCGTTGTTATGACTCGAATCGTTAGCCTTCTTGTGAGAGAGATCATTATCAAAATTACGAGTACCGAATCGCGACATTCTCTCGACTGCTGGAGATCTACGTTTCGTCTCTAGATGGAAAGTTGAACTCTTGATGACCTCCTCTCGGTCTATGGATCACCCTTTTCCCGGGTTTTGAAAATCTCGCCATCGGTCCTTCGAATTTCTTGAGATCGCCGAAATGGTACCCAAATTTTCTTCTTCCTCCTCCTCTGTCCATGGTCATGGTATTCACCACCTCCAATGAGTCAGGAGGAACCAATTCCCTATTCCTTTTGGTTCGCCAGGCCTCAACTTCTTCAATTGCTCCGCGACCTGCATCAATCCTACCGCGGCTTGGCCCTCACCTACCACCACCGCCAGCAACTGCCACATTATTGCTCATCATCATCAGCAGCAGCTGGTGCACCTGCTCCTCCTGCTGCTGCAGCCGAGCTGCTGGATGAGGATGAGGAAGTGGCGGTGATGATGAGTGCAAGGGAAAAAGTGGGGAGGATGCTGGAGGAGCATTTGGAGCAGCAAAGGGAGCTAGTGAGGAGGAATGAGGAGAAGAGGGACATCATCAAGCGCCTGTCCACCCGAGTTGAGTCCTTGGTGGAGGAAATGATGCCCTCAAAACGAGGCTCATCATGGGCATGACGTCTCCTCCTAGTAATTCAACATCCAAGGAATGACCTGCTGTCAAGTCAACCACTCTTCTTCTTCAGCTACTTGTTGTATGTCCAGGGGATTGATGAAGTCTGGTCTGATAGAATATAGAACAAAATGTAATTTTTGTTGTTTTCTGGGTAGTTATTGTAATAAGTAGTTTGTATAGGTATTGAGTGGTAATTTGGTGAACATTATAAAGGCTGTACAATGTAACAGAACATCTCACCGGTTTATGCAATAATCATTTTCTCTTCCGCAATTACGAATTCTGACATGGTATCAGAGCTAAGCTAGGGTTTCATTCTTGATTTCTTTTCTTTCATTCTTTCTGCTTCGCGATGGCGATTCCTCCTCCGGCGAATCTCGATCCTAACCATCCTTACTACCTCAATCAGAACGAGAATCTGGCGCTCGTGCTAGTGTCGACGCTCCTCCTTGGTGGCAATTATCAGTTTTGGGCAAGGTCGATGCGGATGGCGTTACTCGCGATGAACAAGGTCGCGTTCGTCAATGGTGAAGCTTTGTTCTATATTCTATCAAAGTCCCTCACCTACATTGGCAACACCACCACTACCCAAATTTTGCTGCATTTCGATCTTCTTCCTCCTGCTCATTTTTTCTTTTTGTTTCACAACTACTACTCGTTTATGGAATAAGTTGATAAACTCAATTGGGAGAATTTGAACTTTTAAAGACAACAAAGCATTTCGTGATCGCCTAATTTCTCAGTTGACAGGAGCACATTAATAACAAGTGTGCAAATGAATGAGACTAAATAGAAGTGTTTGTCTTTTCTCCTTTTGTTGGCGACCTTCCTCGCTTAGGGGTGTCAGTTCGGGTCGGGTTCGGTTACCCGAACCGAAACCCGAAAAAACCCGAAACCGAAAACCACTAAAATCGAACCCGAACCCGATAACCGAAACCCGAAAACCTGAACGCCTAAGAATACGGGCTGAATTCTATTTATTGGAGGTTTTTAGACGAACCCGAAAAACCGATAAGCAAAACCGAACTCGAAACCGAAAAACCCGAAACCCGAAATGAACCCGAACCCGAAAACCCGAAAATGTGTATAATCGGGTCGGTTTCGGGTAAACCCAAAAACCCGAACCGAATGGACACCCCTAGGCTATCATCGCTGCTTGCCTCCTAGAGACCTAGACCCTAGTTCCCCTCACCAGTTTACTTGTTCCTCGCGCTTCCCAACCCCAATCTACACATCGTAGTGATCGTACGATCCACATATGTTTAGCCTTCCTTTCTTTGCGCTCCTACTATAACTAACGGGTTTGATACTATTTTGAGTATTTTCTCTTATGGAGTTGTCCTTCTATGGAAGGGATACATAGTTTGGTGACTAAATTGATATTTAATCCCAAGTCACCATTAACTCGCAGCTCCCAACTGAACTGCCGACTCTCCTCTCCTCTCCTCTCATTTTCCCTTCCCTCTCACACTTCTTCACTTGACTTCAGTCTTCACACACACACACAGCAGCAGCAGTAGCAGAGCACCGCCACTGCGCAACGTGCTCGACTTCTTTCCCCTTTTCCCTTTTGTTTTGTTTGTTTGCTTGGATTGATTCTCCTCCATTTTTGTCGGCATCGCCACTAAGATCTAGCTCCTTATCTCAGCACGCCACTCCCCCACTTGCTTCTATTCTACTTTCCCAAGCCACAACTATGAACCGGAGCAGGACGCAGAGTCCCGTCTACGCCCGCCAATGGGGCTCCGACTCCGGTGCCGGCGTTTCTCCCGTAATGTCGCCGTCCCGTATCCCTCACCACGCCCGCTCCTCCTCTGCTTCCTCCGGCCTCTCCACCATCAAGCGCAACCAGAACTTCGCCGCCAAAGCCGCCGCCCAGCGCCTCGCCCAGGTCATGGCTTCCCAAACTGCCGACGACGATGACGACGACCCAGACGACCTCGATTTCCGTTACAGCGCTCCCCCTCCCCTCTCCATCTCCCGCACTTCTGCTGCTTCCAATGCTACTGCTCACCCTGCTCCCAGGATCGCCAGATCCCCTTCCCCTGCTGTAAATCCCCTCGCCATTTCACGCTTCAATCTATATCTTCTCTTTGCTTCCCGATTGAATTGGTACAAAATGTGCGAATTGTGGGCTGTGCTCGATTTAGGATTACTAGCCAGTTCATCCCCCTACTCCACTTTCAGTTAATTACTTAATTTAGTTTGGCGTGTCTTTAGCTAGTGGTTTTCAGTTTAATGCCTGCCGTTCTGGTAATCAGTTGAATTAGAAGAAAAAAAAACCCCAGAGAACAGGAAGGCGATGTTAATGATTATGAGCATTCTTAAGCTTTTTCCGATATTGGGTCTGCTATGTAATGATGCAGATTCCGCGTAACATTGCCGAAGAAACTCCCTCAGTTCGCTCCACGTCGGCTGGAAGGTCGGCGACATCACTCCGAGCAGCAGCTCCGCCGGTTCCTCCCAGTAAAGGGTCATTGAGAACGGCGGTCTCCTTACCTCCACCTCTGGAGCCGCCTAAAAATGGCTTTAGGGACAGAAAGAGGTATGATTTTTAAGAAGCTTTCAGTTAAGAACAATTTTCTATTTTTCTGTTTGATTAAGTAGCCACTATTAGTGACATTTTCTTCGATAGTTTTAATTAGAACAAGATAAACTTGATGCTGCGTAGTGAATCGATTTTTTCCTTTTATGGGATGGAATTTACTGCAGATTTTCATCTGATGAAGTGCTTTTCAACTCAAAAGATTCTGGTGACCAGCGAGAGTCGTCTGCACTCCGTGATGAAGTAAGTGTGCCTTGTGACTCTTCCTATTTGTATGTGACGTTGGATCACTGTTTAATCAAAAGTTTTCTCACTGGATTCACTCGTTTTGCAGCTGGATATGCTACAAGAAGAGAATGAAAGCATGGTTGAGAAGGTGCATCATCTTTCCGTTTTGTTTGTTTGTTTTTTTAGCATCAGTGTGATTGTAGGCTGTATAGCATGTCCATGAAGATCTGAAATTGGTTTACAGCTGCGATTTGAGGAGGAAAGATGCCAAGAAGCGGAGGACAGAGTCAGGGAGCTTGAGAAGCAGGTGATTGATTGCTTCATTAAGTATCTTTTAGATAGAATGAATGCCTTTCGATTCCCTCTTTTCACGGTTTTTGATTGTTTGTCTTTCCCCCCTTGGTGCTTAGGTTGCTGCTCTTGGAGAGGGAGTATCTTTGGAAGCAAAATTGATGAGCAGGTTGAATTGATTTTCTGCCTTGTTGTTTCTTCTGGTTCTCTTATTATTCCTTCAAAATAATTTGATAGATCTTCCTATCATATATGCAGGAAGGAAGCTGCTTTGCGTCAAAGGGAGGTACTTTATTTGCTCTATTAACTTTATTTGACCATATAATTTCACCATTTAAGCACCTAAGATTGTTTTTGGCCAATCTATGGGCTGAATTGGTGGTTTGAAGCACTATGGAAGATTTTTCTTGCTTATGATCACCTAAGTGTTTCTTCAGAAGGAGTCTGAGGCAGAAATCAGGTATATTTAAGGTTTTATTTTGTCCGCCTTTCAGGCTGCTCTTAAGGATGCAAAGCAGAATGCAGTGGATAAGGAAATTGCGACTGTTAGGACTGAAATTCAAGTGAGTATATTCTACAACCATGGTCCTTTATCGACTTATTCCTGTATGCATGCCGATGGCAGTCTGTTAACCTTTTTCTTGGTATAATGATAAGACTGCCAAAGATGAGGCGTCGGTTGTACTCAGACAACTGCACGGAGCTGAATCTGAAGTAAAAGCCCTTCGTTCAATGACACAAAGAGTGGTTTTGACTCAGAAAGAAATGGTCTGTCCAGAGAATAATTTATTGCAATAGTGCCTTATATAAACCCTCAGAAATAAGTATTATTCACTAGAATTCAAATTTCAGGAAGAAGTTGTTCTTAAGCGGTGTTGGCTTGCTCGTTACTGGGGCTTAGCTGCAAAATATGGTATCTGTGCGGATGTTGCTGTGCCTAAGCATGAATACTGGTCATCTTTAGCACCTCTTCCATTTGAAATTGTTCTTTCTGCTGGACAAAAAGCCAAGGAGGAATGCTGGGACAAAGGTTACTATTCAACTCCACCAACTTGTGACTAATCACTGGACTGTATCATCCATATTTATCTTAATGATCGACAAGTTCTCATTTTGATAGGTGGTGATTATGGTGAGAAGGAGAAGAGAAGCAAACTAGCTCCAGATCTGAGCGACCTAACTGGTGAAGGAAATATCGAGAGCATGCTGTCCGTTGAAATGGGATTGAAAGAGCTTGCTTCCTTGAAGGTATCTCTTGCTTACACCATCACCTTAATTTATCATCCATTACTTATATCACATACTTTAGAATTTGAAAAAGGCATTTGATCGGTGATTGATTGTATATTTATCTGTGTGAATTACAAAAGGTTGAGGAAGCTATAGTGCTTGCGTTGGCACAGCAACGGCGTGCGAATTCTGTTCGCCAATCAGTCACAGGCATGTGCTTTTTGATTTGTTCTTCTTCTCTGTTTTGTTCATATCAAAACATGGGGAACTATTTCCATTAAAATCTCCTTCAGTAAATTGTACTACTGACTGGTAGAATGTGCAACAATTCAGAACACACTTGGTATTCGGACCAAATCGGAACAGATATAATGTATTTCGATCCGAAATCGTATTGAAAATGCATATTGTCTTGACAATGGTCCTCAACTTTTGATTCTGGTCCCTTGCTGAATTGCTCCCATTATGGATACGATCAGACAAGACCATGCTCACACCTAATGACTAACTGCTTTAGTTTTTTTGCTGCGTTCAGAGCTCAAATCACCCGGTGACCCAAAATACATGGAGGCATTTGGTAAGCATATTTGGGAAGCATCAGCGCTCAACGTTATGTTCCATGCAGGAGAGTCTGAGTTGAGTCATATTGTCATTTGCCTTTCCACCTTTTTCTTTGGCAGAACTTAGTCCTGAAGAGTCTGAAGATGTCCTTTTCAAGGAGGCTTGGCTGACGTACTTCTGGGGGAGAGCCAAAGCAAACGGAGTGGAGGAGGAGATCGCAAAAGAGCGGCTTCAGTCCTGGATCAACCGGAGCAGGCACTCACCGAGTTCATACGATGCTGTCGATGGTATGTAACTGAGCGAACTCCTTGGGGTCTCTTCCTGGTCGGGTGGGCTTGATGTTTAGTGGAGGGGTAAATGGTGCGTGTAATTTTGCAGTGGAGCAAGGTCTGATGGAGCTGAGGAAGTTGGGGTTGGAGTATCGGCTATGGGAAGCATCGCGAAGAGAGATAGAGGATCTAGACAACTCTTCACGGAGATAGCCAAAGCAAGGCCAAAGGAAAGAAGCTACAGTGTGTCTATAAAAGTTCGTTGTTTCTATTCCTTCTTGTTTCGTGTGAAGATAGTAGCTATGCCTATCAGTGTGTATTACATACATGTCATGGTAGTCAATTTGACGGTAACATGCAAACATAAGTAGATATTCAAACAGACGTTTGATCCACGTCAAAGATATAGTGATCAGTAACTAGTATTTTAATCATGCACAACCCTTCATTCCTGTTCCCAGCTGATCATATTCATGAATCATAATGGTCTTGGCTCCATGCATTGGATTAAATTGGGTGATTGTACATTTCTGTTAGCCGCGTCAGCAAAAATCTGGCATAAAAAATTAACGGAAGATAACGGAGAGTGACTAAACTCCAACTGTCTAGCTAAGAATCTGGCATAAAAAATTAACGAAAGATAACAGAGAGTGACTAAACTCAAACTGTCTAGCTAATCTTAGTGACACAAATGAAATCTACACATAATATAATAGCAGAAAGAGAAAATTGTTGTTGCATTTCAAATTTCCTGCAACGAGAGTGAAAGTAGGAAGGACATTTTGGTCTTCACAATTACTTATTTCTTTTTTATTTATTCATAAAAAAGACACAAATTGAGACTCAAACCATGATCACTTTAAAGAAGAGTAAGGATCATAACCAATCACATTAAGTATATTTGTTGTATCTTTTTAAATTAAAAAACATACACAAATCTAATATGATAATCATATGACTTTTCAACGATTGGTTGGCCACTGAATCGCGCGTAAGTACTTATTTGATGTTTTATACTTTGATTTTCATATGTTGATTATTTTTATTATAGTTTAATACTTAATTTAAATTTCTATCGATCTTATAAATATATGATAAGTTGATAACATTAAAATTGCAGCCCAAATATCATTGATTCGAATATTGCAGATTGAATTGTAGAAGCAATGTCAACTTCTTAAATTAGTTTTAGTGTAGCAATCATATTTTTGTGCAAACTATATGGGACTGGTACTTTTAACGTTTTTAGTCGGGTTAACCACTGCGTTTTAAACCTCTTTCTAATATGACATGATTGGTTCCAATGATCATTATACGAGAGATTAAGGGTGGCTCATTTCACCACTTTTTAGCGTGTTAAGGAATTTGTAGGACAATGACATGTCTACACATAATATAAAGGTGAAATGAGAAATGAGGGATCTCATTTCAAATTTGCTGCATCTAGAGCAATTTTTTTAGGAGTAAATTTAGAAGACTCCATTACAGCCGGTCTGTTGAGCACGAAAGTGAAAACATGTTTTTATTTAAACGGGCCCATGATTTGGCCCACTAATCGTTCACCCATCGCAGCCTCGCCAAAGCTTCCTATTCTACTCGGCGGGTCATCTCCTCCCCCACGAACCTACTATCTTCATGTTCCAAAGTTCTCACTGAACTCTAATCTCTACAACCTGATTGCAACTACCCCCACTGTTCTGATAGCTAATAAGAAGACTCTGTTTGTTCAGCTGGATGGTGATTCACTTAATTTAACACACTCCACTCCATTGATAACCTTCTCTCCTCAATTGTATTGTGTTCACGAAGATATGAAGGTAGCAAGTGCAACCGGCACAGTGGTAATCGATATGTATAAAGCATTGACCAAATTGAATTGAGTCGTTCTACTTGGGATATGAAGATTTTTGCTTAATTGCTTTGGTTCGTTATGCGGCTAAGTTTGAAGGTAGACCAATGCAAATAGTAGTACAGCTCTAGAGCTATTATGCACATAATGTAGTTGGGGCAATTGATAATGATTTGGGATTATTCCAAAAAGTACAGAATTTGGAATTTGCCTTTATATTACAATGATTAATAGTGATTTGAGATTTTTCAAATGCATGATTTGACATGTTAAACTCTCCTATTTTGTTGAAATGGAACCTTCGAAGTGGAATATGAAGATTTTTTAATTAAACTTGGTTCCGTAATGCCCTTATGGATGTTTATTCTCTAAAATGCAGTTGTATTTCAAAGTAACCCATCGCAAATGGCAGGTCAGGATACAACGATGGTACAAGTATACGTTTATATCATTCGTAGGAAGCAGATTGAATTCATACTACAATATTGTTTAGTTAAATGCTTAGTTGTTCTTTTCAACTAAAAGTTGCGCTTAAATGCTGTGATTGGCCTGATAAATGTATGTCTTTGCATTAATAGTTAATGATTGTGAGTTTTAGTTTAATGGTGAAAAGTCCATTTATTTAGAAGTAAACAAATGCTTGAATTTCATTTTGAAGTTTGAACTAGACAAACCTGTTGGAAAATAGGCATGCCATAGCCATACATTAGTGTTGTGGGAGGTTTGTTTGATGTCTCAAAGTTTTGGATTTTCTAGAGGGTTGTTTGTTATATCAGAGAGTCCTTATAGCTAGCAAGGTATTCCTATGCGGGCTTTTCTGTTGTTTGACCGTTTCTCGCCTTTTTCTTTATCTATTTTTCTATTTTTGGCTTTTGTGTACCACTTTCAGCTGCTGGGTCTTCATTTGCGAGCCATCTGTACTTTTCTTATTCAGCGCCTAAAATCATATATACTCGATTGCACAGTAGCTACTAAGGTACATTTAAACCAATAGCGAGCTTTTAAGTTTTATTAGTTGTTAGTTTCAATATTTACTTACATTGCTTGTTTATGTAGTTTTCTTTGTAATATTTTGTCATTACACAACTAACTACTATGGCTACGTAGTTGTATAAGTGGGGGTTGGGCATGATAGTTCTCAGAAGCATCAATAGTTGGAGGCTATTATAACGAATATCTTAAAGTTATGGTTTGCCTTCAACTTGCTTGGAGCATTTCAGATATACTTCAATTGTTCTCTCTGTGCTTGATCGTAGTTACATTTAGGGTTCTTCTGCCTTCTTCAAAGTCTTTGGTTTAGTTGCTGACTCCGAGGTCATCAGGGTTCCTCCCTCTGACTGTTTATATAGAAATAGGTTATAGTAACTCTCGGTGAGTGCAATATTATTATTTTTTCGACGGTTATCTATTGTTTTGCTTAGAAATAGTATGAAAATTATATCATTTAACACAATGCATAGTTTGATTACTTGATTACTATTCAAGTGGAGTTGATCTAGCTTATTGGCATTCATGTAGTTTACTAGTATGAAGCTGCTCCTCTTTGAATTACAGAAATATGCATAGCCTGCTATTTGAAGAAAACCCCTTCCTCGAGTTTATCCCTTTCGCTCCTCCGCAAGTGGCAGTGTTCAAGAAGACGCGATTAATCTCTCTCCTAGGCGCGATTAATAGCAGGACAGGAGAAAATCGTCCCGTATAGCCCTCGGCGATTGATCTAGGCACATAGGCACTAGGAGGCGCGTTTCACTCTGGTGGGCGACGCCTAGAACAACTAATAAAGGGGGAAAGTGTAGCCTTTTTGTGAAAATCTCAAACCCTATTCTATTTCTCATTTTCATTCGGCCAGCCGCTCCCTCTCATCGACCAGCAGTGAGATCCCTCCTCATGGTTCGCGACTTGGGATGTTTGGGATTGTGGAAAAGGATTGTATGTGTATTTGAATGGATGAATAATGATATGGCGACTTGGGCTTTTGTGGAATATGGCTTATCTATCAATTTTTTTTCAACGTTTAATATCGCCTAGGCAACGACTAATCGGCCTGGGCGTTGAGCGGTGCCTCCTCGCCTAGATAGCGCCTAGCGCCTTCTTGAACATTGGCAAGTGGTTTTCTTATGGTTTAGTTGTCCTTCATAAATGTATATGCTAAGGTTGCTTTTCTTATATGCAAACCTTTGAGGGGTTGAGGAGAAAATTGGAATGTCATCAACTTTTAACTTATATCATATCAATGCCTAATGTTTTCGAAATTAATTTTTGACTGCTTCAACTTTCAACAAAAACAAACTTGCATATGTTTATGTGTGTGTCTTATGCATGATGTTAATTCCAAGAATGAGAAAATTTTCAGTTCTCTTTTGGGTTTGCAAATCTTTTTGCTACTGATTCCAGTGGTGTGGGTTGTGCATGGAGATCTTTAAGTCTGCATGCAGCTTTTTCTTACCGGGCTATGGACATTTTTGCTTATTTTTTCAGGTCAACTTAGGTAGCTACATTTTGTGGAGCTGGTGTTGATCTAGAGAACAATGGATGTAATTTATGTTGTTATGAATGTAGTTCCATTAATAAATTAATATACTCTACGTAGTACTTATATAGTTCCATTAATAAATTAATATACAATACTCTACGTAGTACTTATATAGTTCCATTAATAAATTAATATACTAGAGAATAGACAAGTGAAAATTTGAGGTAGTTGATGAAATTTTTTATTTGGATGTTGTAATGATTAGAGTCCATCCTATTTTTGACATTGCAATTTTTTTTATGAATGGTTAGCTTTATATTAATCATCAAAAAAACACTGTTACTTTGTGGCAACACCCCCTGCCACTGAGGAAAAAAACTAACTTCTAACTAACTATAAAGAGCCAAGAAAACCATAGCAAAACAAAACATCATCAGATGCACTCAAAAGAACTTTTCAACCTCAGCTGCTTCACATACAATCAGAACTTCTTCCTTTATCATTTTGACAGCATCATTAACACTTAAGACTACCCCTCCAAACCTGACTGAGCATCTTATCCTCCAGATATTACTTATCATTGATTGCCAAATCATCCTGCCAACCCTTGAATGAGGAGCAGAGGACGAGAATGAATCAATAGCCCACTAAAGTTCATTAGGCCAGAAGTTTGAGGAATCTCTATCACAGAACTTACAATAAAGCTTTTTGAACAGCTCTTTGTACCTGCAACACTCTGCAAATAGATGATTTTGAGTCTCAATTCTGCAATCACAATAAGCACAAGCAGTCACCCCTTGGAAGCCCCAACTCACCATTTTATCACAAGTAGAGATGAACTGTTTTATGACAAGCCAACTGATAAACTGATTTCGAGGAATAAATGGAGTTTTCCAGATCAATTTAAACCAGGGAACTTTAGGACTATGAGGTCTAAGTTCATCCCAGATCAACTTTGTAGAAAACTTCTTCACTAGTTTACCCTTCCAGAACCCTTCTCCATTATGAACAATCAAATTGTGTTGAATTACATCCCTAGTTTTAAGCACTTTGAGCCACAACCAGGAGCCTGTTTTACAGGTTGATGTCCAGAAATCAGCCCTATGAAGCCTGTACTCCCATATCCAAGCTACCCAAAGGGACCA